TAATTTAGGACATCGCCACCATAGAATAGTTTCTTGTGCCAAGCTACATGTTACTCTTGAGATGGCTGAAACATAGAAGAGAGATTGTTTTGTCACGATGATAATACTTTCTTGCTTTAGTCAAAACAATGCACAAAATTATAAGGATGATGTGGGGGGAAATGCAATTGCGGCCTCGTGTTTAATATAGTTGATTCATTTCTGTATTAATAAAAATTGAATGAAGCTAAGATTAAGGAGGAGATAAGGAACTTACTTGTCAAATGCCTGCCACATAGATTTTGTTGTATTGTAGCAGATGAACCACAGGAGGATTATGATAATAGAGTCTATATAGTAAGTTAAGGTGAGACAACAGTACACAATTAAACAAGTAATTTTAACAATCAGAAGTACCCAGCTCATTTTTACATCATAGCATGATCAGCTGTGATTTTTCGTGTCGTGGCTGCAGTTGCATATGGTCTTATAGATATAATACAACTCAGTTCACTATTTGATTGTTGGATCACCACAATTATTTTTATTCTGAGTTTGATCAAATTTATTGGAAAAGGAAACAATTATGATACCAAATTAGTATCACTGAATACATCATAACATATATTTTCATAATGTATTTATTTAGTGTTATAGATGATATTATTTTTTCTATAAAGTTTGTCAAACTTAAAGATAGTTTGATTTTAGACGATTCTAGAAATTGATTTATTTTAGAACGGAGAGAGTAATAGTTTCGATAAAATTTCCCATATATAAATTTCAAAATAACTTTCAAAAGTAATATCTTGGGTGTTGTATCTTTGTTAAAAGTTCTAACTTGGTCAAATCTCTATTGAGGCAACAAACGATAGTCCCTCCAGTCATATTTACATGAAGTTTCAGACATTCTGTTGTCTGAAACGTCATGTAAAAGTGACAAGAGGCAGTAGCACATACTGTACCATCTCAAGCAGAGTCTAGCAAGTAGCAAGATATACTAGTGGGCTTTGTTTCCTGGTTGCATCAATGACCCGCCATTATAAGCCGGTATTTGTTTTTTTTCCATTATTTGACGTGGGAGTATGGAACTAAGCCACTAAGGGGACAATTGATTGCAACTTGTGCAATATGTCACGCAGATAACAAGTAAATATCATTTCCGCACACAAACATATTTGTGGATAAACCTGTAATTCTTTTACAAAATACAACATATTGCAATTAGTTTCAAAGTTGGGGTTTCCCATTTGAAGACAAACTCACTACGGATGTCTAGAATATCAACAAGCTAATTCAGAACAAAAACACAATAAATACTTTAATAGCGCACTACCCATAATGTTGTGAATAGAGCTGAGGTGTGTGTGTGGCATCTCGTGCGTGTGGCGGCTGTAGGCCGGTCAGTGTGGTCAGATTTCTGAATCTTGAGTTTTTTTCTTTCTCAATCTTGCCTAACTACCCACTGCACCTACCTAATTTGGAGCTTCCTAATTCGCCACATCAGCAAACCAAAGGTGACCTGAGCACATGGAAATCTGGAAATGGAGCTCCTACCAGCTTCAATGCTATGGAGCCAAATTAATCAAGCAAAAGAATAATTAATTTGCAAAGGTTTAATGAAGAAAATATATAGTCTGATCCATGAAAATGTCACAATTGAGATGCATACTTTGTCATGACATACACAATTGGTCACCTTGAGTCCCCTTATTGTTCCCCGGAAATTTGCCAAAAGTTAAATGAAAACTTGTACCCTGGAGCACCCAAAAATATAATCTCAATGCTGACTCATGGCTATAGGAGAGAAAAACCCCAGAAATTGATATCCAAAACGCAAAACATGAAGAGGATCAGAACAAGGTAGAGGCGCGATCACCCGAGAAGACTCTAAACAAACAGAGCTACTCCTATATATCTAGAGAAGAAATTAGGCATTTTGTGGAAATGAAATGAAATGAAGGATACTGAAGAGGTATCTCTCCCACCAATCCATGGCGTAGAGGCCGATGGTGACGTTGTACAGGAACAGCTTCCTGCCGATCCAGCTCATCTCTTCTCCTGCCCTTTGCTTCTGCTTGCTCCCCATGCTTAGCCCTCAGGCCTCAGTGTTGTGTGTCAAAGAGACAGAGATGCGAGAGTATTTGCAATGCTTTGGAACTTATAAATCTTTGTACTTGGCTTTATGCATGCAGTGCAGGGAAGCTGAAGAGCCTTGCTAGCTGCAGCTGTTATTTATAGAAGGAAATAAGCCAAGCTAAAGCACTACTAGAACCTGTTTACACGGGAACACGCCCACTTTTTCTTGGTTGCACACTCACACTTGGATTGCGCTACCACCCATCCAGTTGGCAGTGGCCGATGGCAGACGACTGCAGCTTGGATTGGGCGGCGGCGATTAGCTAGGTGCACTATGCATGCATGCATGCCTTCCAAGTCCAAAATTAATTATTGCTAACACATAATTACCATTACCTGAGTCTTCTCCAGCGAATTTATTTTCGGCGAAAACCGGGACACAGTTGTTAACTTAGACTGGGTAACTAATAATACAAGTCAGTCAGGCTGATTTATTAGCTTTTGTGTAGACGATATATGCTGATGACACTATGCATCAGCCTAACTTCTGCCCCAGGTATCAGATTATAGGATCAGGTTCTCATTCGAAGAGGCTGACAGCCTCACAAGTCACAAGTGTCTGACGTAGCCACTGCACAGTGGCACACGGTGGGTATATAACACCTTCACGAGCTGATGGATTGGTCAGATTTGATGCGCAAACGGTCTCTGTCTGAAATACAATGTCAACTTGCTGCCCCTGTGCCAAGGAGCGGTATGAATTATGATGTGTACATCGTAGTTGGCTTAAGAGCAACTATCAAAGAATCTCTATATTCTTCCTAATTGTCAGAAATACAGACTTTGGTGAAAAATGTCTTCCAACAACTTTTTTAATTGGCTATCAAATATAGCCACCCTTTATTCCAGACTTTTCGTTAGCCAAAGATAAAGAGCAATGTTAGATAATTAGGCATTTTCATAGTCAATTTAATCCAGAAATATAACATCAGCAGGTTTGTGACGGCATATATGTGCATGTGTATATCTCTAACGAACGCTATAGCATGTAGAGATGACATACAAAGAAATACAGTAAAAGCGCAAAGTACAGTAATCACAGAGATTAGATTGTACACAGCGGAGGGTCCCATGTCGAGGGCATCGGAGGCTCCATTCGCACTAGTCGACATAATGCGTTGCTCGAAGTCGTGAACCACAGTCGATGCAGGACGATGTACGTAGTGCAGTCCCACGAACGGATCACCAGGAAGAAGACGCCTTGCTGTTCTGCAGGCAAGCACCGAGAAGAAGACGGGCTCCGAGAGTAATCACCACCAGGAAGAAGGCGTACGTGGACGAGCAGTCGCGAATCACTCCCCAAAAACCTAATCGCCGCACACCCCGTGCAAGGTTCTCAGGCAGACGAGGGTTCTGGAGGCACCTGCTCTTCTGCTACTCCGTGCGCGTAGAGGTACGGGACGGGGAAGCTAGAGGGCTGCTGAGATGTGGTTTCTCTCGGGAGCGGTTGCTTAAGACGGAGATCTGGACTGACGGAGGACTACGGATATATGGCTGCGACGGGAAGGGAGAAAGACAGCGGAGAATCCCACGAGATGGAGAAGTGGAAGGGACAGTAACTGACGCAATCAGTTCACCTCCACCATCAAAGAGAGAAACTCCCGTGATTATGTGGATTAAGTGGCAAAAGACTTGCCACACCCGCCCACCTGCCACGCCACGCCACGCCACACCCTCGGCCTCGGCCTCGGCCCGGCCCACGCCCACGGCCCGGCCCGGTCGGCGGCGGCGGCAGCGCGCGCGTGTGTGGCACGCCTATGTCATTTTCTCAGCTTCTCAATTAAGATGAATAATTTTCAATCATATAAGCTGAGTCAACGTTCAGTCAAAATCTCGTATGGTATTAAACCATACAACGCTTAATGTTACGTACCATAGAGTTTTATTTGATTTATTAAGTATTATACGGGCCAAGCCCATAATATATTCAACAATCCCCACCAAACTCTAGGGTTTTTAACACAGTAGTCTCAGAACCATATTTCTTTTATATACCAGTGTGTTTGATGGAGACTGTTAAGTTGAACATCCATCTAGAGCAATAGTTTCGCTCAGTCACAACTGAACAATAGACTGACTAGGCCTTGAATTGCCAGTTTTGTGTGAGGTGAATGTCACTAAAGTCCTTAGCTGATACTTGGTTGCAAAAGGCATCCCCTCTATTTGAAGCATATAAGTCATACTCCAGTGCCTTTCATGAGTATTTAGAGATCACCCAAATCTCATAGATCGTGACCAAAGTAGCTTTGACTCATATAGGTGTGCTTCTCAAAAGATGTTCAGAGGACAACATCTTTGCTTTATCAAGCCACTTGGAACACATTAAGGTAAAACCAACCACTACACCATTAACACGCTTCACCGCCGGACATCCGACGCTAAAATTATATTTGGCAATGGATGATCTAACGCTAAAGATAACTCGTAGACCATCCGACGTTAAATCCTCATTTAGTGATTTAGTGTCTGCATCGCTATAGATATTCATATTTAGCGTTGAACCGCTTGTCGCTAAAGCCAAGTGTACCGTCAATGCATGCGTCGCTAAAGAAAATGGGCCCACGCCGAGCTCGCGTGCCCCCACCTCTATCTAGCTCGCTTCGCCGTGAAGCAATTTCACATTTAGCCCATCGCTGATTCGGCCTGTCTTAGCCCATCTCGGAGCATATACTCGCATTTCGCCCCGATTGACTTTCAACGGCCGAGATACACGAAATGATGAATAAAACACAACGCTCTCTTCTTCTCGAATGAAACCCTCTGCCTCTCTTTTTCCCCTCACACACGGTCCCCCCACGAACTCCTGCTCCCCTGCTCTGGCCGGCGCAGCAGTAGTATGGGACGAGCCCCCATCACCCTCCGGTGGCATGAGCTTGCAGGCCATGGCCCTCCCGGCACACCACTCCGGTGGTGCGTGCGCAGCCGGGACGACTCCCCGCCTACGCATTGCCACCTGGTTCCTTCCCTTGCGTCTTCGTCTTCATTTGCCGGTGGTGGTGGGGGCATCTAACCCGGGCCGCCAACCCTCATTTCGCCCAGCCCGCCTCGCCAGTAGTCCTCCTCCTCTCCTTCTTGATCCTCCACAGACGGCACGCCTCCTCTCTCTCGCTTGAGCGGGCTTGAGATCCGTCCGTCCCGATGAGTAGCGATCTCTTCCTTCCTGGTAGTCCTGGCTCGCTTGAATGGGGGGACGGATTCCTTTGTTGGAAGCACGAGATTGGTTCCGTTCTGGGTCAAATTTGGAACCTCCTTCCTCTCCATTTAGATTTATTGTTTCGGTGTGGATTTGTGTGGCACCGTAGTGTTTGTTGCCACTAATGTTCCAATCCGCCCATCCATGCGTGGCCCTGTTAGAGATTGTAGTATTCCACAAAATATTTTTTGTGCCCAACTGAAAACCACCCCTCTTTGCTGCCCCTTTTGTTTTGTGTCACATTCTACCAGGGATCATTTGCTACGGAGGTTTTGCTTGGGAAGATGGCAAACATATGTGCAGTTCTGGTCGGGTAAGATTTTAGATGATTGACGCTGCCGACGAATTTGTGCAAATTTTGATGCTTTTCGAGATAGCTATTTGACGATGTGTAATGTTGATTGCCCACAGCTTGTCATGGGCAAGAGGTTCCTTAGCAGAGGCGGGCAGATGTGCGTCCACGAGGTATATCATTGTAAACTTTACCTCAAGGGATTGTTTGGTTTTCTACTGTTGTGTTAGTTGTTTGTCACTCCGTGGACTTATGCTGCCACCAATTTTAACTCTAGGGTTAACTGATAAATTGTGAACGTGGACCAACAAAATGCTTTATTTACTTGCAACTGATGATTGTTGGAATATGGTTTTATTTATGAAGTATATTGTTTTTCTGAAGTATGATTTCTTTCCAGGCCATCACTTCTAGCATCTCCAGGCGCTTTTATTACAAGGTAGGGCCAAAATACTAATCCTTTTCATCCATTAAAATTGCTAACTTGCATACTTATGTGGGCGTCCTTATTGCAGATCCCTATGCCACCCGCTGGTTCTTATGTACAGTATAACCACATGTCTATTTGGAATCGGGGTGCATGCATTGGTCTCAGATTTTATAAATGTAACCTTAGTGGGTTATAGTTGACCATGCTTGTTCTCATATTCATATGTATCTGCGCCCACTTTATGACACTCTCGGTATGTTCACAACATAGAATGACTATACTATAGTTCTCTTGTTCATTTATGATTTGTCTAGTGATAGTTTTCGTGTATTGTACATTTGTACTTTCGTGCCCAGATCTTTGTTTAATTCATTGTGAACCATGCAAATGGTGGAAGTAATATTATTCGTGTGCCTCAAACTCTAAGCATTGTGAGCTTTAATCACTTCTCTCTTTCAACCTTCGACAATTAAACTGAAGTGGATACCCTTATTTCTCAATGTACCGAACTTAAGAAAATTTTGATACAACTGCATGGCAGCCATTTTCATTGTCATTAATCTGGAATGGCCTAAGTCGATTTGTGGATGCACTCAACTATAAGTATCCCATGTCTTTTTGGTTCCCTGTTTTCTTCTTGTTCTTTTTCCTTGCCTATGTGCTTCAAGAGTTTGGCCCTTAGAAAGTTGGTGTGATTTCACACCTAAGCCACACATATGTACTTATGTTATTTGTATTATGTTCCTAGATTTTATACGTGGGATGCCATGATTTCTTTACCATCCTTTGTTGAGTGGAAGTTAGATATGTGGTATGAATCCAAACTTATATGCTTTGTGAAATCTGGTTTCTTTATATACAAAATATGTCTATGGCAAAGGTGCACAACCTACCCACAACAATACATAGGTCTGTTTCTCTGCTCGCTAGCTAGGCATCTACAAATACATAGTTTTTATAGCTTTCCCCTCAGTTATATAACACTTGAAAATATGAGATATATTACCTTTGTCTAGCCTGCAACTCCAATGGAATGCAAAACAGCTTTACGTGTATGCTTATATTTGTCATCGCTTTTGTCCATGCTAGCTCTGTTCTTAGACATTGCATACATATGTGCTGATGCCCTTGACACAGTTTATATTTTGGTTCAGGTTGGTTGGATCTGTGTTCCATTTCGAGAAATAAATTGATAAGGTAAGCCAACTAAATTAGGAAGTGACATGAACCTATGTTCTCCCATTCAGTTCATCTCAGATTTTAGGCTCTAAGTTAACCTTATATTGTAAATCAAGATGGTGTACATTTCAAAATTTGGTTATCTGGTTTTATCTTGCTACACATTGGATGATTAATTCATACAATATTTTAAGTGTCATCACATTTTTTCTAAAAAGGTTTCTATATTGCCAAGTGAATGCATTATTAGAAATTAACAAATATAACTTGGAAGTTCTGACTAACAACAAAGAATTTACAATCTATAGATTTAGCATGAGACATGGTACTCCCAATCAAGTTAGCCTAAGCTGTTTCATTCGGTAGAGCTTATGGAGTGTTGTATTGACCAAGTGTGCTCTTGATAGATTGACGTGGTCTGGTTTGAGTACTTGTGACATGGGTTTTTTTGTTTGGTGCCATAGGGGGTAGTGTAGTTGTGTCACTTTGCACTACAAAAGGTATATGCTTTCATGAAATTGTTGTGGGCAGTAGTCTGCAGTCAGCAGTCATAAAGTGTTGCTAAGTGCTGAAAAATAAGCTTCTTTAATTTCTTTTGGTGGCGATTGGTGATTCTGTGCAGCGGTTATGTTCCTAGCTATTTATTAGAGATTGTTAGTTCTGAATGTATGCATGTATGGTAGCAATTCTGAGGCTGCATCACACGTGCAGCTATGTGCAGCTTTGGCTGGAATCAGTAGCTAGTTTGTGTGTTCTTTTGTTAAAAAATTCTTGTTGAAAACGTAATGATCACCAACTTTAGTTGGCTGCTTTCTGTTTCTGTCAAGTTCAGTTCGGTCACTCTATGCAGCCAGAGTCAAGAGTCAGACATGAGTTTTGTTACTTTGTCCTTCATTGCTGAGACTTTTCTCTTCCTATATGTTGTTTGAGCTATCCTTACATGGTTTTTAGTTTATGCTAATGTTGCTTGTCTCGGTTTTGCATTGAATTGGCTTCTTTGTTGGTAGCAGTATGTTCTTTTGCATATGCAGTCTGTATGCACACATGAGTATTTAATTCACTGAAATTTTATAAACCTGACAGATGCTTGGATCTGAAATTTTATAAACCCCAAGTGGAGGCTAGTTTGTCATACTGCGAGGTAATTGCATGTCCTTAGCCCTCCCTTGAAGCCTCCCCTTTCTTCTTGCGTGGATCTTTCTTCTTGCATGGATCTGATGACCTCCCCTTTGGCTGAATCAATACTTTTTAGTGATTAAATAGGAAACCTGAAAAGAGAAGGCTGTGAAGATATAATTAGTGTTGCTCTTGAAGAAGACGCCACCATGGACTAACAAATGAAATTGCAAAATTGTGGGTGGGTCGTTAATGATGAATTTCTTATTTTGTATCTGACATTCATTTCTTTGTACTTAAGTTTGTTGTACCCCCTTCTCCCTGTAATACCACTCTCTCCTACTGTTTTAATTCACTTAAAAAACCCTTCAGTTATGGGTTATAAATTATAATCTATTTCCTTTTTGATACTTGTGCAAATCGATCATTTTTACACATTACATTTGTTTTTCTCAGTTAAAAAGCTAATTGTTTTCCTAACTTGTCCATAGTTATGATACTTCCCATTTTTAACACATTACAAGAATTGTTGTTTTTGTCCTTTGGAGAAGGTAATTGCAATGCTAGTTTATGTAGCTTGTCAACTGTATTCTCAGTGCTTTTCTGTGCTTTCTTCATAGGATTTCTTACATGAGATGTCACATAAGGACGACAAAATTGATTCCTTAGTTAAAATGGGTTTCCTGAAGACGAGGCTGCACTGGCTATTACTAGATGCGGTGTGCTCTCTGAACCTTTGTTCCATGCTCCTCTGTTTGCCTTTAGATTCCTGAGCAAAATAAACATCAATTTCCAACCTTGAAAGTAGGATATGCTCTATATAGAATAAATCTGTTGAATAATAACATTGCCATTTTTAATTTTATGTCAAACTTTCTATTGGTTTATCTCTGGATTTTGAGAATTTTCCTCAAATACTGTATGTTGGAACTCGTAAATTGGCTGCAATCTTGAACTAAGATAACCTGGAATGGTTGATTCTTGCTGTCAAATAAAACTGTTTTTGCATTTTCATGCAACTTGTACCACTCAGATTCTGTCCTTGTCCCTGTTTTATTTTAACTTATCTTCAAAGTTTTATTATTCGAACTTGTCAAAGTATGCTCCAAATGCCCCTGCTTCACCGATCATGCACCGTCGTCTCTGTGGGTTTAAAATTACTCGGGCTGGATGCATCTATTTCTATTCTGGTGGATTCAATATATGCTTCACAGACCGCAGGAGATGGTTACTATGGCAATTTGTCCGACTATGAGGTTCGCCTTTAGGTGAACTGTCCATACAAGTCTGCAATAAGATTTAGTTCTAATTTAATGGTCTGATAATGGAACTGTGTTTGCAATACTGCAGGATAATTCCTATGATGGGATAAACAAGGGAAGGTTCATGGATGGGAACAAAAAAGAGAGAAAGAGATATGGAGGTCAAGCACAGGGAAGTAGAGGCCCATTAGATGGTAGCGCTGATGAACCCATGCCGCTCCCAAATCCAATGGTTGGATTTAGCTTGCCAGATCAGTGGCCAAGACCAGTGAACAGGGATCTACCTTCACAAGCTATGGGTCCACCATACTTCTACTACGAGAATGTTGCTCTTGCTCCAAAAGATGTATGGACTATCATATCAAGATTCTTGTATGATATTCAGCCGGAGTTTGTGGACTCGAAGTACTTCATCTTCAGCCACCAGAAAAGAGGTTATATACACAATTTGCCACTTGAGAACAGGTCACCTCTCCTCCCTAAACCTCCAAGGACAATATCCGCAACATTTCCTCGTACCAAGAGGTGGTGGCCATCATGGGACCCAAGACAACAGTTCAATTGCCTCCAGACTTGTGTGTCTAGTGCAAAACTGTTAGAGAAGATTCGTGTAACCCTTACAAATGATTCAGATCCACCTCCTCCAAGAGTTCGAAGTTGGTGTTGGAGGAGTGTAGGAAATGGAATCTCGCTTGGGTTGGCTTAAACAAGGTTGCTCCTCTAGAGCCTGATGAGATGGAGTTTCTACTCGGCTTTCCAAGGATCACACCAGAGGTATCAACATGATGAGAGGTATCGATCTCTAGGAAATTCATTTCAAGTTGATACTGTTGCTTACATACTTTCTTAAAAATGCATATGTACTTTTATGTAGGCCTTCATAACATATTTATACACTTTTGAATTTATAGCTTCTTCCCTGAGATTTCCACATAGATTTCCAGGCTGTCTATGTCCTCATTCTGATATATGTCCTAAACAATGCAGGCCAAGACTTGGGAGTTCCAAACCTAAAACAAAGATCACCAATTGCAAAGCTCAAGAATTACATATCTACTTTTTGCAACAGGTCAACACAAACCTGTTAGGCCTCTTGTTTGTGTATTATATAGGCCATGTACTCTAAATCAGTATTACTTTAGGTACAAGTAGTACCATCAGTACCATGTGTAATATAAATATGCATAAGCTCTTTGGAAACATCAAGATGTGTAATATACATATATATATGTGTAGGCGCTCGATGGTGCGCGCCATTCACTAGTGTATGTTTGTTCTTAGTTGTGTAGTGACATTTGTATTATTGTGGCCAATTGTTGATGGATTAATTTTTATTTTTTTAACCATTTAAAATTGTCTCGTTGAACTGTCTGTCGCTAAAACCATATGTACCATCGCACAGTCTGTCGCTAAAAAGTAGCAATGGACTATCTGTCGCTAAAAAGTAGCAATTGACTATCTATCGCTATAAATATTTAGGGCAGCAGATTGTCTGACGCTAAAAGTAATCTTCTCGACGCTAAAGATTTTAGCGATAGCACTTAGAGCGTCTGCCGAAGTCTGACGCTATAACTTTTTAGCGTCAGATTGTCTGTCACTGTAGCCGCTTTTAGCGTCAGACCGTTCATCGCTAATCTTGGTGTTGTGGTGTAGTGAACCTGCCTTACAGAAAGGAAAGATATACATCAGAAATGAGTCTTACTAAGGATCTTTCCTCACAATTTACTACTAGCTTGTTTCACCATTCTACTTCATGGGATCTCCGATCATATAGAACAGGTTACCACTATAGTAAATTTCATGTGGGTCTCAAACCCATATCTCTCGATGCACTTTCTATCACATTGTGTGACAGACCCTTAGTGAACTGATCTGCTAGATTGTTAGACATGTGAACATAGTCCAACGCTATTACTCCGGAGTTTCTCAATTTTCTGACAGATTTTAGTCGTCTCTTAACATGCCTTGTGGACTTCATGTTGTCCTTAGAACTATTAACCTTTGTAATCATAGTCTGGTTATCACAGTTCATAGAAATAGCCAAGATAGGTTTTTCAACAACCGTAAATCCATAAGGAGATCACGGGCCATTCGCCTCGTGAGCCAGCATAGTGTCTAATGCTATGAGTTCGCTTCCATTGTAGACTTCGTTAAGATAGTCCGCCTACAAGATTTCCGAAATAGCACCACCTCCAAGCGAAAACACATATCCACTTGTGGCATAAAGCTCATCAAGATCGTGAGATCCAGTTGGCATCACAATAGCCTTCCAAAGACTTTCGGATGTCCCAGATAACTAATACCATAGCTCATGGTGCCTTTTAGATAGCGCATCACTCTCTCAAGAGCACGCCAAAGTGATCATCTCCTAGGTTTGACACAAGCCGCTCAAATTGCACAAAGCAAATGAGATGTCGTGCCTTGTTGCACTAGCAAGATACATGAGCGAACCAATGATCCGGGAATATCTCAACTGATCCCTTACTATTCTCCGATTTTTCCTCAATAGCACACTAGGGTCATAAGGTGTAGGAGCAAGTGCACAGTCACTAAACCCAAAGCGACTCAGCACCTTTTCCACATAGTGGGATTGTAACAGAGTTACCCCACCATCACCTTCTCTCAGAAGCTTGATATTAAGAATAACATTAGCCTCTCCCAAATCTTTTATCTCAAAATTATTAGTTAAAAATCCCTTCACCTCCTCAATCACTTTGAGGCTAGATCCAAAGATCAGTATGTCATCAACATATAAGCACAAAATGACTCCTTCACCCCCACCATACCGATAATACACACATTTGTCAGCTTCATTCACAACAAAGCCAGCAGATGTTAAAGTTCTGTCGAACTTCTCATGCCACTGCTTAGGAACTTGTTTTAGGCCATATAATGACTTTAATAATTTACACACCTTGCCTTCTTGACCATTTGCTACAAACCCATCTGGCTGATCTATATAGATCTCCTCCTCCAACTCTCTATTTAGGAAAGCTGTCTTAACATCCATGTGATGAACGATGAGACCATAAGAGGCTGCCAAGGAAAGCAAAACTCGAATTGTGGTCAATCGGTCGACCGGTGAATAAGTATAAAAGAAATCCTCACCTTCCTTTTGAGTATAACCCTTGGCCACAAGCCTTGACTTGTACCTCTCGATCGTACCATCAGGGTGCCTAAGCTTTTTCTTGAACACCCATTTGCACCCTATAGACTTGCACCCATAGGGACGATCAACTATTTCCCAAGTTCCATTATACATAATGAATCCATCTCACTCCATCGCTTCCTTCCATAAGTCAAAGATTAGGAGAGGAATATGCCTCTTCAATGGTCGTTGATGTATCATCCACAAGGTACACAATATAGTCATAACCAAAAGACCTTGCAGTCCTCTGTCTCTTACTCTTTCTAGTGACTATAGTGTCATCCTTCTTAGGATTTTGCATATAGGGTTCCTCAGTTTGTTCTATCGGAGTAAAATTTTCATGCTCATGGGGAATTATAAATTCATGACCAGTCGTGCTAGGTGCATTTTTTATGGGAAACTTATTCTAAAAAAATATAGCGTCTCTAGATTCCATGATTGTATCAACAGCCATCTCAGGAACACTAGAATTTATAATTAAAATCTATAACCCACGCCGTGAATAGCATAACCAAGAAAAACACAATCAATAGTTTTTGTCCAAGCTTTATTTTTGTTTAATGACACATTCACTTTTGCCAAACAACCCCAAGTTCGCAGGTAAGAGAGATTTAATCTCTTCTTCTCTCATTCCTCGAATGGTGTAATTTCTTTGTTCTTTGTGGGCACTCTATTAAGGACATGACATGTTGTCAATATAGCCTCACCCCACCATTCCTTAGATAGTCCCGCAGTCTCTAACATGGCATTCACCAAATCAGTTAGAGTGTGGTTCTTTCTCTCTGCAATCCCATTGGACTGTGGTGAGTATGGTGGCGTCCTCTCATGAATAATTCCATGCACCGACCAAAACTCAGAAAATTCATTTGAGAAATATTCTCCCCCGTGATCGGACCGCAAAAGCTTGATTTTCTACCTCAGCTTTATAGACTTTAAAATAATGCAACGCTTCATCTTTAGTTTTCAATAAATACACGTAGCAAAATCTAGTACAATCATCTATACATGTCATAAAGTATTGTCTCCGCCTTTTAGTCAATTCGCCATTCATTTCAAGATAAATCGTAATGAACGAGTTCTAATGGTGCCAAGTTCCTCGCCTCAAGCCTTGTGAGGCTTGCTTGCTTGTTTCGATTGTACACACACACCGCACTTAGAATCTTTGACTAAGTTAAATTTCAGTGATTAAATTCAGATTTGCAAGTCATGCGTGAGACAACCAAAAATTAATGTGACAAAGTCGTGAATGCCATATATTCGACTCATCCAAACATTAATATTGTTCACCACTTTATTACACACATCATCAGGCAAAGATAAGCGGAACAAGCCTCCGTAATCATAATCTTTCCCAACAAATATTCCATGTCTCGACACAACACACTTATTGGACTCAAGCACAATTTTAAAGCCATCGCGACACATCTGAGAAGCGCTAACAAGATTCTTCTTGATGGAGGGGACATGCTGCACGTTCTTTAATAGCACCGTCTTTCCCAAAGTAAACTTCAGAACGACCGTACCAACACCAAGAACACGCGCATGCGAACCGTTTCCCATCAGCAAGGCTCCAGTCCTGCCGGCCTGATAGGAAGTAAATAAAGAAACATCAGCACACACATGGATATTAGCACCACTGTCCATCCACCACTCAGGTGAAAGACAAACTAAAAGAACAAAAGGTAAAGAATTACCATACCCAGATGTTCCTCCTCCAGTCTCGCTAATTACCACGTTTGCTGATTTCTTTTCTTGCTTATATTTATGGTCTGGGCATGCACTTGCCCAATGCTCATCACTCCCGCAAACAAAGCAACCTCTACCTTTCTTGTTGTTTTTCATCTTAAACTATGCAGTTTGCTTAGGCTTTGCATTGTTGTTCTCTTGCATGTTCTTCTTCTTTTTTATTATGGGATGCGAATGAGTTTTTCTTACGCATCATATTGGCAAATGGAAGACTTAACTCCTTTTCCACGGTTGTCCTTTGCTCTCGCCTTCTCCTCAACATCAAGAGACACAATAAGCTCTGTGTACACTAAAGTCTTGTCTCTTGTGTTTTAGAGAAGTAGCAAAATCCCTCCAAGAAGGTGGTAGCTTAGCGATTATACCGCCGGCCACAAACTTGTCGGGCAACAAACATGGAAATGTTCTAATTCATTTGCTAGCTACCAGTATCTCATGAGCCTATTCGACTACATAACGGTTTTAACCATTTTGTAGTCATACAAATTGCTCCATAAGGTATGACTCACTTTGCCGAGATCGAAACAACAAACTTTGCCTCAAGAGCATCCCATAACTCTTTGCCTAATGTAGATATGTAGTTTTTCTCGTACATAGGATGAAGTGCACTAATCACGGCGCCTCGAAAAGTTATCGGCAGCTAAGAAATTTTGCTCCTCCTCGGAGTAAACTGTTCACCTTCCCCCACGCTGCGTAATAGCAGCTTCATCGCATGATCAACCACAATACCATCTTGGCACGCCATATCATGAAATTCTTGCCATCAAAATTATTTGGCTTCAAAGCGTGACAAAACCAATCGATAGAAAATTACT